CTACCTTACTCCTCCCCACTCCCTCCTCTACATCCCCTCCCTGTCCCTCGGAAAAAAAAAATCAATTCTGAGTCACCAAACCCATCTGACTCTATTTCCGGTTCTCAATGCACCCAGACCCTGACAATGGCCCCATCCTTGCTCTCCCAGCATGGGACAGTCCTAGGGTAGCCTGGGCTCTCACATAGGTCTGCTCTCTGATGCCCACTAACAGGCCCCTATCTAGAATGAGAAGATTGTTGACAGTCTTATATAATAACAAGACCTGGGGGGTGGGGGGTGGGCTAAGCATACAAGAGACAAGGGCAGCCCCCACTCTTCTAAGTCCATTAAATGTCCATAGGGAATGACGGTCAGAATCAAGCTGGGAGTCAGATGTCTCAGAACAGAACAAGTGTCATTAGAAACCCCTCCATGTGGTCTCCTGCCCCACCTCTTCTCACTTGCAAACTTCTTCAGGGGCGTGATGCCTGCTGTCACCCCTAAAGGCCACGAGGCCAGGTGTCCCCTGGGGCCAGGAGACAAAGATCAGAAGGGGCTGTAGGCCCGCTCACTAAAGGCACTCAGGGGCCTAGAGAAGGTGGGAGTCAGAGCCAAGAGGCAGGGCAAGGGGCCCGTGAAAGGACGGAGGGTTGGAGCATGGATGGATGGATGTATGGATGGATGGACCGGAGGATGGAGCAACAGAGAGAGGAAAGATAGATGGATGGACGGATGAACTAATGCGGAGGGGGCGGGGGTCCAAAAGCACTGCAGCCAGCAGGCAAACACCGGAAAGGAGCAGGAGCTGTGGGGCAAAAGGCGAAGGAACAAGGTGGGTGAGGAGGGGGGCACAGAAGTGGGGTGCGTGGGAAACACGTGGAGGGGCTACTGCGGATAAGGGAAGCCGAAGGCAGGTGCAGGAGGGGCGGGAGATGGAGACCAGCAGGCAAGGAGAAAGATAAAGACAAGTACATGTGGGGGCAGGTACTGGGCACTAGTAGAGGCAGATGTGGGCAGGGTGGGCTGAGAGCGGTGAGTCGGCGCTAGGACCCGGAGGTGCGAAGGTGGCGGAGCAGGCGGGCACTAGGACCCGGCGGGTCCTTTGTTTGGGGGGCCGGGGAGCCGGACGGCGGCTCCTGTCGGCGGCTCCCCTTAGCTGCCGGGGCCCCGGAAGGGGGGAGGGGACATAGTGGTGGGGTCCCCGGACTCTAGGGTAGCTTCACTCACCGTCGGCCGCGGGCAAGTCGGCCCGCTCCACCCACGAGCTCCAGCTCTGTCCCGCGAAGTCATCGAGACTCGGCACCCGCCGCTCCAGAGCGGCCATTGCTGCCGCCGCGCGTTCACGCACCGCCATCACCGCCGCGGACGCGCGCCCGCCCCGGCGCCGCCGCCGCGCGGCCCCCTCCCTCCTGCCCCGCCGCGGGCACGCCTCCCCTCTCCCCCCTACCTTCCCAGCTCAGTCCTTGCGCAAGCGCAACACAGGTTGCCTGGCACCGTCCCCTCCCTCACGCATTGCCTTCTGGGAAATGTAGTCTTGGAGGGGTGCTATTGCCTACTGAGCATGCGGCGAGAGCCTTTCCGAAATGTACGATTGCAGGGGAAAAAAGAGACCAAAGCCCCAGCATCTCCTCTTCCAACCCATGTGCACACATGCTTTGTGCTACCCCAGCATCTCCTCTTCTAACCCGTGTGCACACATTCTTTGTGCTATAGTCCACTCTCCCACGCTCGCTGCACACACACCCCAGCCCCAAACCTCTCTGCCCAGACGCCCCTCTAAGCTGGCTGGCGCCCCTTCCTGGGCTTGCGGCCGCGAAGCTACTTGGCTCCCCTGTAGATCGAAGAGGGTAGGTGCAGGGAGGTGGGCGCTGTGAATCAGAAGGGCAAGGGGAGGGAGTCTGTAGGATGTGCTGAAGGACACAGGGGTTGGAGGGGGGGAGGGCTTCGGCTCCCGTGTCTTGCCTCCTCTGTGGGAAACCCACACTGCCCTGAGGCAGAGTAGAGGGTTGGACTGTGGTGTTGTCTAGGTTTGGGAGGTCTTGGCTAAGCTGACCAAGATCACCTGTCAGGATGACAGAAGGCTATCTCCGAGCCAGAGCCAGCCCCGGAACACGGGTAGCCCTTAGGCTGCTGGGGTTTGCAGCATCTTGCTGATCGTCTCTCTCCTCCTGAGAACTGCGGTCGATACCCTGTACTGCTTCTTCCCAAACCTTGGCTGGACCTGGACTCCATCCATCACTTTGGCTTCTTTTACTAATGAATATTTTCTCTGCTGGAAGGACTGCTACGGAATCCTCGGCATTAGGAGATTTCTTAGTAGATCTGTCATTTTCTTTGCTAAGGTCTAGAAAGCCCCTTAATCATCCTCCTCTTTTTTCTTTTCAACTGATACTATTTTTTCCTACCGTCACACAATCAAGATACAGAAGTCTGCCTGCTCCTTCCCTCAAAATCACATCAGGAAAGAAATACTAATCTTTTTCCTCCTCAATCTCTTACACTTCACCCCATACTCATCCCTTTAGCTGAGGGGAAACCAAGTTTTAAAGCAAATAAGTCAAGGTCTATGACTGACTTTAAGACCTTAAACTTCCTTCTTTTCATCCAGGGAAGATTTAAGTATTTCAAGGATAAACTCTGAGGGCAGAAACTCTTAACCTGAGAACAATAGATGATCCCTGGGAGGTCCAGGAACCTGGTGAAATTGAATGTAAAATTGCACCCACGTGTATTTTTCTAGGGAATATAAATGTGGTGTGAGACTGTCTGAAGGGGAATGGAGGTGCAAGTTTGTTCAGCAAAAACCTTATAAAGAGTGAAGCATATGGCCTTCAGTTCCTAACAGGAAGCTTGTTTGGGTCACAGATGGTAGGAAAGCAAATGGGAACAGCAATGTGGAAGCCACTATCTCTCACCTTTTGAGTTTGCTCCAAATTTGCTAATGAGTCCCAGTTACTCTGGACTAATTGGGTGCCACTAACTGAGGAAATGTCACCAGACTGGGACCTGCCAGGAACAACTGCTCAGCCAAGAGACTCTCTTGCTTGGGGTGCAAACTGGAGAGGAATGGAATGATGTCTTGGTGAAAATACTGATATTTGTCCAAGAAGTTAAAGCAAGGGAGAGGAAAAGGAAAAATAATCCCCAGGAGGGCTCCAGGCTTGGCTCTGTCATGGCAAATACTCATAGCACTGTTTATTCAAATATGTAATAACAAGCACCAGAAAACAACATGCAACATTCTCCCCCCACCCCTAATCTGCAACAGGAGACTCATGACTGCGATAGTAGAAGGAACTTATGTCCAGGAAAGGTCCTAGGTGGGCACCGGGCAGGGTTAGAGTCTACTGGGGTAAAGGGAAAGTACCCTACCATTGGCTTCCTGTAGTAGCTGAGAAACCAGACACCTTCTTCTACCTAAGGCCCCACTAGGCAAAGTGGTGGTGCCAGCCCTGGTTGGAGGGGACATGAATCTCAAAAGGCTAGCGCAGCCCTCTAGAGGTAATGAGGTGAAGTGGCCTTTCCTCTTAAAGTGTCCATGGAGAGAGCGACTGTAGCCTAAATCAAGGCTTTTCTGGCTGAGAACAAGATAGCCTCATGAAGAGAAGGAGAAAGTGCCTTCTCTGCTCTAGGGAGAGTTCTGGGCTGGGAGTCCTTGGCAGGAGTGAATAAGAATATACTCCCCTTTCAGGACCAGTTGCTAACTTCAGTCCCCACATCATAACACTTTATCCAGCATATTTTGAATGAATTATAAATGCAGACATAGAATCCAAACAAAGTTCTAGTAGAAGCTGCTCACAGACCCTACAGGGGCTGGCCTGAAGACAAATGAAGGTTACCCCTTTGTTCTCTGTGTCTCTGGAACCATAAACAAAACTGTCCTGCCTTGTCCTTGAGTAGCCATGGGGACAGATCAGGACAGAGAGAGCATTTCAAACTTAGAAACACTTTTACCCCATCTCCTTTCTTCCCTCCTCAAATCCCTTCCCCCAAATCTAAAAACAAAACCCCAAACTTAATTCTTTCTCTGAAGGACTCTGGAGCGTTTGGGGATATAAATTTCACACTTCCTCAGTCAAGTGGGAAAACTGATACAAACAGGAAATGACTGACTTGAAGTCAAAGATCCAAACCCTGGGTACCCCAGTAATACACATGTCACTATGAGTGGTGTTCAGGGAGATGAAGAGGTTGAAAGGATTGACTCAGTCCTGAGGAGACATTGGCACAGGGCACAGTCACCTTTGGGATGCTAAGCAGGCTGGTTGGCACTAAATTGGAAAATGGCTGGATTCTTCCCTCTTTATCCTTCCTGGGCAGCCCTATGGCCAGGGAAGACTGAGATGTTTTGAGCTGGGTAGAAGGCAAATAATGGTCCTTGCCCAGGTAGCACTGACTCTTAGGACTTGGGGTCCAGAGAGGGACTAAAGGAAGTATCAAGAAGAGGAGACACACCAAAGACAAATATGGAACTGGGTCCCAAAGTGAAGAAGCACCAATATCATCAGCCTGTCCTGGACTGGGGAGAGGATAGGGGCTAGGAGAGATGAGGATGCTGGGGAAGAATAGTAGGGCAAAAGGAGAGGGCACATCCTTTTGTAAAGATAAGAAGGGCAAGTATTAAAGAAGGATCAGGAAAAGAATATAGTGCCGGAAGTAAGGAAGAAATGGGGCCATCCATCTATGTCCTGGGGCTTTGAGGCAATGTAGCCCCATGAAGGTCCTTTGAGCCTTTACCAAGCTTCTCTCTGGCCCCATAAGAATAAAAGGAAGGCCTGGACTTCAGAATAGATCTTGAATGCCTCAAACTCATGAGGCTGGGAAAGGGAGATGGACAGAGAGGTTGGGGGCAGGGGGAAGGTCCTACACCCCACATATTGTGTCCCAAGTGTGAGACCAAGCCCAAGAAGGACAGGGAGTAAAGTAGGGGGTTCTAGCATAAGTAGAGTTTAGAGTGTTGGTGGAAAGTGCCCCAGCCTAGGGGGTGGGAGGACTGAAGGGATATAAGAAACTCTGCAAGTTGGCAGCCTCTGGTTTCTTGAAGTTGCAACTCAGTTGCAATTTATCTGCTCCTGGCTGAGTCTAAGCTTCATCAGGACCCTCTAAAGGGCTGTTTTCTAGGCCAGTTGGGTACCCTTTGTCCACACATGGTCGACTCTGTGGGCAAGCAAAGACCAGAGAAGACAGTGGGAAATACACTAAGCCCTGGGCTGACTGGAGATCAGACACAGCGACTAGATGACAGCCATTGGGGAGAGGCCAAGCCACTGCTGGGGCCTCCACACAAGGGACTATGGGGGAAGGCTACCCACTGATTTCTCTTTCCACCACTATTATTGAAGCTGGACAGGTTGATATAAAGGTAGCTGCTAGGGACCAGTCTCAGGTCTCCAGTTTTCTGCCCCTTACCCCTCACCTGCAACACAGGCTGGTTCTTGGAGACTGTGAGGGCACAAGTATGACCCCAAGTAATATTCCTGGGTCCAGGCAGTGGATAAGAAGCACTGAGCTCCTGTTATCCATGAGTTCAGCAAGAAGAGGGATAGGAAGCCACTGGGAGGGCTGCCCAGGTTTCCAGCAGCTGACACCTGCCCATCAGTGTCTCAAAACTCAAAGCCCAGAAGATGGGGGAGGGGAATTGGACGAGGAGGAAGAGGGAGGTCCTGGAAGCCGGAGGTTGTTGAAGAGGTGCTGTCCAGTTCGGGAGTAGCCAGGTGGCCGCTGCTTACTGCTTTTCCACTGCTCCCTGCTCAGCTGCACTCTCCTGGCTGGGACCCTGGCTGGGACCCTGGCTCTGGTCCTGTCCCTGTCCATGCCATGGGGTCTCCTTGAACACAAACCAACAGTTCCCAGCCCACAAGAAGAAGTTGATAAAGCCGAAGAGCTGCAAAGACATCAGAGGAGTTTGTGAGAATAGTACGGGGGACATCATGGGTACGGAGAGAGGGGAGTTCTCCTAGTGCAGGGAGAGGTAGCAGAGGAGGACAGAGAAAAAGCACAGAGGCTAGAAAGACCAAAAGACAAAAAACTGGCTATAGAGGCAGGGTTCAAGGCCATCACCTGTTAAGGGAATCCCTAGTGAAAATGTCTAACTCTGTCCATAGCATGCATCTACCATATAGCTTGGCCACTAGCATAGTCTGGCCCTGGAGCAGAAGAGCACCATGCAAAGCATAGCAAGGAGCCAAGGGTCAGCTGGCAGTGCTTGTCACTGCACAGGTGGGGCTGTGTCAGGAGCACCTTCTGTCAGGTGGGCTGGCTGGAGCTGTCCGAGGTGCTTCTTCCCTAGGACCAGGGACACAGCCCAGGCCATAGTCAAGTATTCATTCAAAATATTTTAAAAACCTAACAGCAGGAAGGGGTTAAGAAAAGTAAGTGTACTGATGTCTCCAATTAATGTAGAAATGCATTAAAAGCAAGATGGACAGATGGAGGAAGAGGTGGACAGATATGTGATAAAGCAGGTCTAGTAAAATGCTAATGGAGAGTCTTGGTGGTGAGTATATGGGCGTTCACTGTAAAATACTTTCAATTGTGCTGTATGTATGAAAATTTTTACAATAAAATGTTGGCTAGAAAAACCCATCAGTAGGGTTCTAGCACATTCTAGAAGGCTTCCTGGTATGCCAGCCATTAAACATTTCACTTATGGGCCTTTGGTGATCCAAGTCATTTTCAGGGCTAAAGTGGTTGGGATGACACGTAGCATTCGAGAAGCTTAAGGCCTTAGCTCTTTACCAATGATAAGGACTCATCTCAAGCTTCTAACAACTGGATGACCAAACATGCACATACCAGTTGGGTCTACCCTTACCCCAAAACCCCTTTCTAGTCTGGAGGCCTAAGCAGCAATGAGCCCTTTCTTACTCACTCTGGGTATGCTCTCAGCTTGGAGCTCAGCCACAGCCCTATGCCCCATGCATATGCTCACATGTGCACACACACGCATAGTGTAAAACAAGCAGGACAGGTGGGAGGCAGCACAGAAAGCATGCCTCGACGTGGGGAGACAAAGAGGGAAATGAGAAGCAGCGTACAGAGGGAGGAAGACGCAAGAGGCTGAATGGCTCTTGGGTTTCCCTCATCTCAAAATGCCATGTCAGGGTCAGCCAGGGGCCAGCAGCCAGCATCACGTGCAGGGTGGACACCAGCTGCAGGTGCAGGGGATACCAGCTCTGGGAACATCCTCTCTGTTTCTCTTAGCACCTGCCATCTGGGATAGGCCTGGGCAGCTGGGATAATCTGCCCCACTCCCCAGACCTTTTTAGTGGCCACAAGTCTCACCACAGAGATGTTGGCCAGCCCCATGGAGGGTGTGGCTCCGCCACTGCACACTGCATCCTCTCCGTGGCACACGGACATGGCTGCCGTCAGACTGGATGGCCGTGTGGCCCCCTTGACATCAGTCAGGCCCTTGCCCCAGGCAGCTGCAGCTACCAGCCAGAAGAAGGTGAAGGAGACAGTCACACAGAAGTCCTGGGAAGGCCAGAAGATGGGAAACACACTCAGAAAGGCCCTGTGGGTCGCCATTTCTTTTCCTCTTTTCCTCTGCCATGTTACAGAATGTGGGGGTCTCTTCACATCCTACCCAACATCTAGAGTCCAAGTCATCAGGGGAATCAGGGGCCCCTGTGTGTTCTGAGGAACCTGTTCACTGCCACCAAAGCAGTCCTGCCACTCAGTCTACCCAGGCCCTCAGATCCAAGGTCAGGCAACAATATACCAATGTGCTACGGTGTCAGCTGGGCAGCCTCATTCCAAAACGCATACCCATACTCCCCAAGAATGGGGCCCAAACTCCCAGCTTTTCCTTTGATCATCATTGCTTGGCAACAACTGATGGCAGAGGACAGAAAGCAAATGAGATCCCCTAAAGGCACCCCTCGTACCCTGCATGACTGGAACAGGAAGAGACTAACGAAGAAGAATAGCTAACACTTATTGAGGCTAACTATGTACCAGATACTTTACACGCATTCTCATTTTATCACCAAAAAATAAAAAAAAATATGAGGCAGGTATTCTTTTATCCCTATTTTATAGTTGAAGCAACTGATTTAGAGAGACTAAGTAACTTGTGCAAGATCACACAGCTAGTAAGAGATAGTGCTTGGATTTGAATCCAGGCAGTCTAAGTCCAGAGCTTGCTTCTTTATGCTGCTATTGTGCCTCCTGTGAGCAGGAGCAAGTGACAAGGGGTTGATAGAGGCAGAGGTTCCATATTTCTCTGTGCCAGGGACCCAAGGAAGCCTCCATGTATGTCCTCCTTTAACCTCAGTCCGCTAATAAACATCAGTTTCTCCACCCCATTTCTTCTGGCGTGCTCACTCACCACCAGCGGGAAGCGCTTGTTCTCTGTGTAGAGCTTGTGGAAGCGCAGGTAGAGGACGAGGGCAGCCATGGTATAGAAGAAAGAAAAGATGCCAAGGGTCACAAAGAATTCAGCAGGGGCTGAGAAGTCCCCCATGAGGTGCATGGTCTTGGAGGTGGAGTCATCGTCACAGAGGGGCATCTCATACTGGATCCGGTTCAACCTGAAGGGGGCAGGGGAGGATATCCTGAGTAATCCTCTCTCTCCTTGCCCTAGTCCTCCTGCTCTAGTTCTCACCCTGAGACTCTTCCAGAGCTAAGAAAGGGGTCATGTAGGAGGGATCCTTGCAGTCAATATAGGCACTTCCCAAAGATTCCAGCCAAATATCAGCCACTACCCCACACTCATCCACCTGCCTAGACGTGTATTTTCAAGTATCCCTAGGGCGCTTTAGGTCACCACCACAATATATGCAATTCTTTTATTTCTGGTAGCTGAACTACCAGGCAGATCAGCTTTATTCTGCCACTAGAAAGCACAGGCCACAATGGCCAAGTTAAGGTTGGAATTACTAATTCTCAGGCCTTATTTAGGCTCTCTAATGAAACTAAATTGGAAAAATAAAGAGAAAAATAACAGTACGTTATATAAAGGGATGGTTAATCTAACTTGGGTGCTGATACCAAACATTTTTGAAAAGCTAAGCCCTGTCCCCATTCTCCTGTGAACATTTAAGCTCCCTACTTCCTATGCTCCCAAACACCCAGAAAAGACGATTCTTTTCTACCTCCTGGTCAATACCTTCTTGTATTCTGGTGTTACCAAGTGAGCATCCTACATCAACCTTTTAGGAACTAAGCACTTCTAAGCTTCCTTCCTTTTGAGGCAGAGCAGAGGCTGCTGAGAGCCTGCTGAGAGCCTGCAGACCTGTCCAACTTACCCAGACCCTTATATGCCTCCATCCCAAACTGCATGGATTCACATGGTTTCAACGTGACCTGCTATTGGCTGTCTATGGACTGGAACATTGTTATAACAATGATCCGTGTTTCCCGTATGTTTTTCTCTGGTCACTGTGTCTGAAATTGCTAAAGGGCAGAAAGGACCCAAGTCTTATAATTCTATTTGAATCTGGAGTGGCACATGACAAGTTGGTCTTTAGATTTCTGGAGGAGGAAGAGACCAAGCAGATCCTGCCAATCCAGAGAAAGAGAATGTGCTGGGTCGGGACCAATTCAGGCTCACCTGAAGGGATAGCCGAATGAAACGATGATGGAGCTCACGTCCTTGGCTTCGTTGTTGCAGCGAACCATTGCTCCTGTCTCCCCGCTATAGGAGCCGCAGGACCCGAAGGCGAAAATAGCAAAGAGCTGAGAGAGAGTGGAGCCTCTTTGAGAGTCAGAATACCTCAATTGGCCAAGGTAATGAACCACCCCCTCACTTTCACCAGGTGCAGATACTGAGGATGGGAATTGGAGGAACTGAGGATTCTTTTTAATCAAGTCCCTCCTGGGCAGAGACTCACTGTTTCAGGGAGCTGTGTTCATTGCACAGTGTGCTGGACCAAATAGCCAAATGAATAAGGGTGACTTTGAGGTGTCTGAGAGGCAGGGAGATGAAGAGACGGGAAATAAACAGCTTCCAGGTCTTGCCATTGGGCACGACATTGGGGACCACAGGTAACCTCCTTAAGATGATGCCGAACACCAAACCTCTGCAAGGGAGGCTTTTGAAAACTTCTGGCTCAAAGCTAGGTTTGAATTTCCTCCACAAGGGAAAGGAACCCTCAGAAATAGATTCCCCTGTGCCAACCTGGATCAGGCTCATCTGAAATGCTTTTCATTTCTCCTTTGAACTAGCATTCTAATCTTGTTTCCTTATTGCTAACTGCCAGTGGTCTCCTGCGTCCATGCAGGTATAGCTTGAGGGGACACCAAGCCTCCACAGAGGGGCCATGCTGCTGTCCCATAGCACGGCCAGCTAAATTCCTCTTCCCCCAAAGGCACATTTCCTTCCAGCAATAGCTCTGGCTGGGCCAACGCTGACAGTCCTGGCTCCAGCCCAGAGAAAACTACCCTCCACTTCCCTTATCGAGCTCTACTATTTCCCCACTGGTGTTTCCCTTTGTCATCTGTTGATGCTGCTATTTCTCAGTGTTAATAACCAGAGGCATTTCAGATGACTCAAATTATTTTCTCCTCCACCTTTCATCACATTTTTACAACACCTCCTGTCTTGAGTGAAATAAAATTTTCTCATCCTGCGATTTTCAAATTTCTTTCTGGGAAACGGGCTTTAGTTAGAAAAGGAGGCGAGAAAGTGGAAATTCTTGTCCTCCCACATCACCTGCTCAGGCCCGGTTTCCTGTGCACTTACCTTTGGCTTATCTACAACATAATCATTATTTTTAAGCAGTGAGTTGATTTTGTTAATTGTTCGTCTTCTGTATGTTTCTCGGTGACTCAGTGCCTTGAAAATTAAGCACCCAGAAGACAGCTAATCTACACCCTCATCCTGCATCCAGAATCTAGACTAGAGTTGTATGCACTTTATTTTGCTAATGCTTGTTAGTGCTATAAAGTGAAAAGAGCTTTGGATTAGAAGTCTGAAAATCTTGGATCTACTCTTGGCACTGTCACTAACTAATTAGCCAGGTGACCTCTGATAAGTCACTCTGCCCTCTGAGTCTCAGTTTCCTCCTCTGTAAAACTAAGGGGTTGGAGTAATCTAGAGGCCTTTTCCAGCTTTGGGATTCTCTCATTCTGTGAGGGTAATGTTATCAGTGTGCTCTTGGCCGGGCTTGCCAACAGCTGTGCTCTGCCCCTGGGAGGTGTCCGGTGCCACTGCCCTGCCTTGCATTGCCTGGCCTGGCTGATCTCCATGCTGGAGCTACTGACCTCTCTCTAAAGGTCAGAATGGGCACCTTTCTGTTTCCAGGAGGTTTATTCCAGACCAATGAGAATTGTCTCCGTTTTTAAAAATATCCAGGAAAGTAGACAGCATAACCTTTCTCCAATGACTACATAACCTCACGTGGGTTAGATTATGGAGAATTTTAGAGCCCTGTCTGCTCACCTTCTTGACAGAGCTGGAGAGAAGTCTCTTGAAGCCTCTGCATCACCACTCTTTACATACTCAGACCTCATTGGCCCCACAGTAGAACTTCTCTAGCTTTTCCTCACAGGAATTCTCTAATCTTTTGTCAACTCTGTGGCTCTCTGATTCCTCTTAGAAGTTTTCTTTATTCTGCTCAGCTTCTGGTGCCCAGACTGGACACAGTTAGGGTATCACATTCTAGGAAGCACAGTTGGATATAAATTTACCCATTGGCAGTTAGTCAGTAAATGGCTTCTTAGAGTTTCCCTGAAAAAGTATTCATAACCTGGGGACAGTGAACGGTCAGTCATAGTGCCCTCTTTTCACCAACACTCTCTTGACAGGCACTCCTGAACATGTATAAAAAAGTGACACTTATAAGCATCTATTATGTCCTGTACTAGTGTCAGTGTCATAGGCATAATTATTTAGCAGTGAACAAAAGGGAAAAAAATCTCTGTCCTTATGGAGCTTATACTTTAGAGCTTCAGTATCCAAAATAGGAGCCGTTAGCTAAGCATGGCTATTTAAATTTAAATTCATTAAAACAAAATTAAATTGACCGGGCACAGTGACTCATGCCTGTAATCCTAGCACTCTGGAAGGCCAAGGCAGGTGGATTGCTTGAGTTCAGGAGTTCCGGACCAGCCTGAGCAAGAGTGAGACCTTGTTGCTACTAAAACTAAAACAACTAGCCAGGTGTAGTGGCACATGCCTGTAGTCCCACTGTTCAGAAGACTGAGGCAAAAGGATTGCTCAAGCCCAAGAGTTTGAGGTTGCTGTGAGCTATGATGCCATGGCACTCTACTCAGAGGTACAGAGTGACACTCTGTCTCAAAAAAATAAAAATAAATAAAACAAAATTAAATTAAAATTTTAGCTCAGTCATAGTAGTCCTATTTTTTTAAGTGCTCAATAGCCACATACGATTGGAAGGTATTATAGTAGACAGCACAGATTATAGAACTTTTCCATCATCACCAAAAGTTCTGCTACGTCTAAATGTTAGTCTTGAGGTTCTGACAACCCTGAACCCTGCTTTCTAATTCCTGAGAGGACACAATACACCCATAATGGCTTCAGTATTAACTTTTGTATTTTGATTGTTTTAAAGTCAGGAATCTCTAAACATCTTACATGCTAATTTTTTTATTTACCAGAATATATGTTTAAATCTGAGCACTACACAACCAGTTGGAGCCAGATAACAGATAGTTTGCTATGTGAATGCCAAATAGGAAAATTTGAGGGGAATCGAACAGGTTCACAGAGCAGAGAAACTAAAGGGAACTCAGAGATTATCAAGCCCAGTGGTCTCATTCCACAGAGATAGAAATTAAAGCCCCCAAAGATTAAGTAATTCCCAAAGTCACATTAATTATAGCGAATGTGAAAGCCAGGCTTCGAATTCACTTCTCCTGATTCCCTGTCCAGGGTTATTTCCTCTTCATTCATTAATTCAACACGTTTTTTTTTTCTTTTAGAGACAAGGTCTCATTCTGTCACCAGGGCTGGAGTTCAGTGACAGGATCATAACTCACTGAGCTCACTGCAGCCTCAAACTCCTGGGCTCAAGTGATCCTCCCACCTCAGCCTCCCAAGTAGCTGGGATAACAGGCATGTACCATGCACCCAGGTGATTATTAATTTTTTTTTTTTTGAGACAGAGCCTCAAGCTCTCCCCCTGGGTAGAGTGCCATGACCTCACAGCTCACAGCAACCTCCAACTCCTGGGCTCAAGGGAGTCTCCTGCCTCAGCCTCCCAAGTAGCTGGGACCACAGGCGCCCACCACAACGCCTGGCTATTTTTTGGTTGCAGCCATCATTGTTGTTTGGCGAGCCCGGGCTGGATTCGAACCTGCCACCTTAGAGGCTGGCGCCTTAGCCACTTGAGCCACAGGCGCTGAGCCAATTATTAAATTTTTTTTGTAGAGATAGGGTTGTGCTGTGTTGCCCAAGGTGATCTTGAATTCCTGGCCTCCTCTCGCCTTAGCCTCCCAAAGTACTAGGACTATAGGTGTGAGCCGCTATGCCTGGCCATCATTTATTGAGCATCTTCCTTGTTTCTGTTGCTGGAGATACGAAGATGAATAATACCTTGCTCCTGTTCTCAAGAATTCACATCAAGAAAGGGGTGTCATATCAACACAAAGAAACAAATGACAACAATGAAACCCTGTATCACAGAGTTATTAAGGCTAAAGAACAGATCTCTGCTATGTGCACTGAGGAGGGAGGGAGTAGCTCTGTGCCCTCTGATGCAGAAGAAGAGAAAAGTATCTTCCCCTTACCCCCTCCATGGCTCCTAACCCTTCACCTTCACCAGATTTGCTTTCTTCTCTAACTGCCAAGTGACTGAGCCAGAGGGAAGAGAGGGAAAGAATCGAGACCACTCCTGTTACCAAGTGCAAGACTCCAAGATGAACAAACTGGTTATAAAGAACAGCCAAGGCAAGATGAGGCCCTGAGATAAGGGAGAATTCTAGAGGTTCTGGTGCCACCCAGTCAGGCCTCCTCCTCTTGGAGCTGCATTACTTGAGGCTGCCCTCCACCACTTCCTCCTCCTACCTCTGCATCTCTTTTGCAAGGATCTCGGAATAATATTCCCAGTTTAAGGATGAGGCTCCACTTTGGTGCTGACTTGCCTGCTAGTGATAATCTTAATGCCGAGCATAAGGGAGAAAAGTTCTCCCCCCAGAGCCAATCTCTCCCCACTGATCTCTTTGGTTTTATGGACTCTGATGGTGTTCTTTCAAATTCCCTACACTTACTAAAGTAACTTATTCTTCTTACAAAGAACTCAGACCCAAATAAGTGAGTCTGGTGCCCCTAAGGTGAATTATTGATCAGGGGCACACCCAGTTAAAGTAAATGAAAACAGTGACTAAATCACTCAGAGATTCTTTTGTACCTTACCATCAAACTGAGGATTCAGCAGTGACATTTGAATAATCTCACCAAAGGACAAGTCTTGCTGGACAGTCTTCATGAAGGGAGAAGTTAGGAGAAAGGGCAGGAGAGAAGGAACCAACACTTACTGAATACCTCCTGGAGCACCAGGCTCACTGTGGTCTTCCAGAACGCTCCAGTTTTACAGATATTACCTCCTAAAATCCTTCCGGTGAGCCTATAAAATAGGCCTTACCCTCATTTACAGATAAGGAAACTGAGACCTGTAACAATTTCATCATTTCCAGCGCTGGAAAGCAAAGGGGAGTGAATTTACACCAAAGCCCATCTGACCTTGAACTTCGTCTTTTTCTTTTTTGAAAAATGAGTTCTCCAATAATTGGTCTAATTTCAGGTTATTTTGCTACCTTAGTATAGACATAGTGAGATTCCAGAATTGGAATTGAGGGAAGATTAGTTAATTTTTCAATTTTAAAAAGACAATCCAAGCTAAGCTCCTGACTAATAAAAGAATAACATTACTTTCTTTTTCAAGGATTCTAGTAAAACTTTTGCTTTTTGGTAATAATAACAACAAAAGTTTTCAATTACCATTACAATAACGGCAAGATGTATTTTTTTCCCTTTATTCCTTCTCCACTTAGGAGCATTGGATCCCTCCTAGCAGAAAATGAGTGAAAAACCAAATGACAGGCTCGGTGCCTGTAGCTCAAGCAGCTAAGGGGCCAGCCACATACACCAGAGCTGGCAGGTTTGAATCCAGCC